AAAAAAAAGATTGGAGGGTTTTAGCAATGTGCCCAAGGTCACCCAGCCAGTGAGCCACTGCGCTGCAGACAGGGCCTGGGTCTCACCCCAAAGCCATGCTCTCTTTGGTCTCGGAGGAGGTGGCACTGGGCTCTAGGGTGTCCTCTCTCGAGGACAGAGGTAGTGACAGCTCACTCAGATGTGGCACAGAGCCAGCCCCCTCCCTTCCCTGGCCTGGCCCTGCCCCCAAAGGCACCACAGATCCGGGAGGGGTGTAGACAGGGCAGCCGGATACCATTTTCTTGGCTTCAGGCCTGGCCCCTGGGGGTTCCTAGAACGTGCTGGGTCCCAGAGTTGGCTCTTCCCAGCATCCGACCCTCCCCAGCTCTCTGCACACCCTGCATCTTCTTCTGATCCTCACGTTGAAACTTTCATTTGACCTTCAAAGAGAAAGGCCGGCCCTAGGGCTGTCCTCACCACAGGACCCAAGATGCTGCAGGGTTAGAGCCCCCAAGTTGTGCATGTCACACACCGCACAACTCCAAGGGTGCCTCGCACATTTGAAGTCGTAGTTCATGCCTGAGAGTCATGACAGCTTGCAGGAAGATGCCAGTAAATGTGTTGAGGAAGGGGATATTTTGTTCTAATTCAGAGTTGCTTTGGGGGCGTGCAGGAAGGATCTGTCCTGTCGGGCCAAGCCCAGCTTCCTGCTCCTGACCCTACCTGGGAATTCCAGCATATATCCTGTCAGTCGGAGGTTCTCAAAGGGAGGCCTTGGGTTGCCAGTGTTTTGGTGGCGTGAAGTGTTAATTCTGGAATGTCACAGGGGAAGTGCTGTCAGAACTCTGCAGCATAACCGGAGGCAGTCATTTATCAGCCAACAGAGGTGTATTTCTGGCCAGAACAAGCGACTTACTTGGCGCTTTTGCCTGAGTCTGCCAGGCAGGCCCAGTGCTTCTGTTCCTTTGTGTCTGTCCCTCTTTGGTGTCTGTGTGTGCTGGGGTTGAGAGGGGCTCTCTGTGGTGGCCGCGTCTCCACCCAGGTGTCAGGGATTGAAATAGCTGAAGAACTGCTTGGACACAGCCTGGCCTGCCCTCTGCTCTTGAGCGTGTCCCGCCTCCTCTTTTCCCCAGTCCCCTGGAGGTCCCGGGTGTCTTTCCTTGATGCTTGTCCTGCTTCTTGGGCCTGGTCGCTCCCTTGGTTGCTCCACCTGTCAGCGCCTTCTGCACCCAGAGGTTGGACAGAAAATGGAAAATTCCCAGCTCCCTCCAGCTCCTTTCCTGGCCGCAGGGCCTCATGCAGGGGTCACCTTGGATTGAGAGCTGGTCTCCTGGTAGGGAAGCAAGTTGGAGCTGACAGCTGGGAGCAGAAGCCTGCAAGCAGGCGGCGGCCACGGAGAGCAGTGTGGCTGGGAGAGGGACTCAGTCCGGATGGGGAGACAGGACCTGTGGTCTGGCCACACAGGGGCAAGAGTGAAGGGCCAGCCCAGGGCCAGGCAGAAGCTGGCCAGCGTGGGTTGTAAGCCACAGGGTAAGGCAGGGGCCTGCAGTCTGGGTGGTGCAGAGGGAGCCCTAGAGGAGAAAGTAGGGTGCAAAGGCCTATGCAGGCCCTAGGCCACCACAGCTTGAGGGATCATCAGAATCTGGGACCAAGAGCCCAGCGTATTGGGGCCAGCTGGGAGCCTGGCCTTGGGGCTAGTAATCCAGGCCTGAATCGCCCTCTGGTGGCCTCATGACAAACTGCAGTCAGACTGCTTCCGGCTCCCTGTCCTCTACCCACTAGGTCTGTTCCAAGGCCCCGCTCCTCTTCCCAGGGTCCCCCCTCCAGTCCCACCTTCCTTCCCTGACTGCCTCCGTGACCCCAGGTGCAGGCCCACATCCATAGGCTGGATTTGATATCCAGGGCTCTTTGTCACGGTTCCTATTGCCACGGTGACCATTCCCATGCCTCCTTCGCTGTGGGTGCGGGACCCTCTCTCTGGCTCAGGCTCTGAGTCAGGCATGGTGTGGAGTCTGGGTTGGGGGTGCTCATAAGCACGTCAGAGCCTGCCCGTGCCTCACCGCCATGGCTTCCTTCTCCCAGCCTTGAGGGAGATATCTTCGCTCAAAGGGGCTGGATGGGGTCAGAGGTAGGGGGGCCCCCTTCCTCCCAGACCCTCCCTGCACTCAGGCTGGCAGCTGACTGCCCCCCCCCCCCTTCCACTCTGGGAGTGATGCCAGGGTGAGAAGGGGACACTGGTACTGACCAACCACGTCTGGGAATTCCCGCCCACAGGGGAGCTGCGGGAGGGGGTCCCCGTGTCCCTGAGGAGCCAATAGCAGCCTGGCCATGCCCCAAGGGGCGGTGTATATCGGGCCAGCACCCCCTACGCCCCATCTCTTCTCTGCCTGCCTGGCACCAGCTGGACCCCACTCTGCCTGGGGGGCTCCTAGCCCCCCAGGTGCTTGCTTTGGTATCGCCTTCTCCCTTTGGGGGAGATCTGAGGACCCTTGCACCCTAGGGATGGCCCAGCCCGGGGTCTCTGTCAAGTCCCTGGTGTCATCTTATGAGACCCGAGTGGTGGGAAGAGCTCCGGGGCCGCCCCGAAAAAGGGGCTGCGTCTCCTCTCCCTGCTCTCCGCGGGCAGCTTCGCCTATCCGGGGGCCACCTGGGCCGCCACACCACCGGAGCCTCGCGGGGCCCGGGCAGCGGCCCTCACCCTGCCGGGGGGCGGACAAAACCCTCCTGCCCCTCATTCTCTACTGTCACAGGTAAGGGGGGGCTGGGGACTGAGGCTGCCGCCCGCCGCCGGGAAGCGGCACCTGGGGAGGGGGCACTGGGCTGTCCGGGCCGCCGGCTCCCCTCCGCTCACCCCGCCTCCCGCCTGCTTGTGTCTCCGCAGCAGCTCCAGCATGCTGAGTGGCATCGACAACAAGATCGAACAGGCCATGGTAAGAGGACGTCTTGGTCCCCGGTGTCAGACCCCAGCGTCACCCCGCTTGCTCTGTTCTTCGGGCACACTGACTCTGCGCCGTGGTGCCCCGCGTCTCCACCTCCGCCCTTGACTGCCCTTGACCCCTGGTCCCAGCCGTCTGTGAGCCCTGCCCCTGTGCCTCATCCTCGCCCCCGTCCCCGCCCCCTGCCTGCCCTGTGTCCTCGGCCGCGGCCCCTCCTCCTTGGGCACGGGGACCTCTCACAGCCACACCCTCCGGGCACTGGGCAGGGATGTGGCTGGGGTGGGCTGGCCGCCCTGACGCGTGGCCTGTTGGGTCCCCAGGATCTGGTGAAGTCCCACCTCATGTTTGCCGTCCGGGAGGAGGTGGAGGTGCTGAAGGAGCAGATCCGGGACCTGGCGGAGCGCAACGCTGCACTGGAGCAGGAGAATGGCCTGCTGCGTGCCCTAGCCAGCCCGGAGCAGCTGGCCCAGCTGCCCTCCTCGGGGCTCCCCCGGCTCGGGCCTCCCCCACCCAACGGGCCCTCTGTCTGAGCCTCCCGTCCCTCACAATGTGCCTTTGGGGGCTGCCATGGCCGCCCGGCCTCGTGCCAGCTGTCTGCCCCCTCTTCCTATGCAGCTTTAATGCCCCCTGATCCCAGGGATGGGGACAGTGCAAGGCTCTGCAATGGCCTGTCCCCCACCCTAGCCTGGTCACCCCTGTCCCCAGGCCTTGCAGGAGGAGGAAGGGCTCAGACAGTGTGGGGGATGGAGTGCCCTCCGCGAGTGATTCATGCCAGCCCCCCTCCCTCCCTAGGCATCGGTGTTCTGGGCCCCCAGCAGTAGGTGCTTGGGGAGGAGGCCGCTGGAGGCTTCCTGGCAGACCCCACCCTGACCCTGTTCTCCCCAAGTGTCCCCTCTCTGCTGCCCAGGGGAGGGATATGGACAGTATCTGGAAGTTCTGGGATTCAGGTTGTTCTTAAAATAATAATTAAAAATCTGAAGAAACTTGAACTTGGAGGTGGGCGTGGAGTTGCTTTCGTCCAGACTTGCATGGGGGTGGTGCCAGCAGTTGATCCCTCCCTGTCCAGGCTAGATTCCTTCAGTGTGGTGGAGAAGAGTAGTGGACGGAGATGCAGGAGAGGAATCCAGCGGTTTGGGTCCTGGGAAGGAGCAGGCCGGCCGGGCAGGGGAGCGGGGTGGAGGCGGCATCTGCCCACGTGCTGGGGGCAGAGAAACAATGAGGCCTTTGGCCAGGGTGCGGGATCCATCCCCAGCTTCCCAGCGAGCCCCTCTGCGGGCTGGATCCCGGTGGCTGCTGGGGGCGGGCTGGGGGTCCTGAATGGGCCCCTTGTCTCCAGGCTGGGTGTGAGCCAGGCTCCCCGGGCACACGGTGCCCTCGCCAGGCCTGGCTGGCCACAGTGGCTTCCACCCCCAGCTGGCCGAGGACCGCCCTGTAGGGGAGCAGGCTCCGCCCTACCAACCTGGGCTCAGTCCAGGCCAGGCAGAGAGCCGCCAGGGAGAGGGACCCCGCCTAGCGGGCAAGCGGGGAACAGCAGCCTCAGCCTTGAGGGGACCCAGTGAGGAGCTGCAGAGGGGAGCTGTCCTGCTACAGGGACGCCCAGCTGGGTGGGGACCTAGATTTACAATGGGCAGCAAGTCCTCTGGCTCTCTGAACCTCAGACTGGGACACCCTGGGGGATCACGTGACGCAGTGTACGCAAAGGGCCCAGCATGCCCTGGGCCTCAGCCAGTGTCACTTCCCTTCCCTGGATGTGGATAAGAAGGGCCCACGCCAGGGCAATTGGTGCCACGGGAGCTGGAAGGGCCTCTGGGTTTGGGGCCAAGACTATGACTCTCACAATGGGCTGGAACTGTCCCCGAGCTGGGGTTCTCATCCTCTGGGACTCATGCCTGTCCCACGGGGAGCAGGGGCCTGGGACAAGGTGTTGGGGGCGCTTCCCTGCTGGACGTTGCATCTCTTCACTGGTTGCTTGAAACAACTCAACTCCCACAAGACCCCTCTGGTGGCGGCCCCTGGCCTGCAACCTGTCCTTCCACCGCCCTAAAGGCTGGCTCTGCGGGCACGGCCCGGCTCGGGAGGTTTTGCGAATTTGTTAAGTGAATTTGGCAAAATATGATCTGTTGGGTGAGTCTCACACACTGACTCATCCTCATTGTGCTAAGATGAGAGTCCTGGTCAATGACCATCACGTCTCCCTCTACCAGGACTCTTGTGACAAGCCAGGACAGCAGGAGAAGAGGGGATAAGAGAGACAAGGAGACCGAGGGTGGTGACACAGGCCAGTAATCCCAGCTCTCTGGGAAACACAGACAAGACGACTGGCAAGTTTGAGTCCAATCTGAGCAACTTAGTGGGACATGCCTCAAAATTTAAAAAGAATTTTTCCCGGTACCGGAGAAAAACCAAAACCAAAAAAAAAAAAACCAAACAAACAAAATTTAAAAAGAATTTTTAAGAAGGGCTGGGGATGTAACTCAGTGCAAAGGCCCTGAGTCCAATCCCCACTACACACAAAAAGAAGAAAAAAAAGTAATAAATGGGCCTGGGGAGGGGCTTCAGCGGAGGAGGCTGAGGAGGCCGCTGCCCTCTCTATGGCCTCTTTCCCCATAGCTGCCACCTCTGTCCCTCTCTGTCCCTCTCTGTCCTGTCTGTGCCATTACCATGTCATCTTCTGGAGACTCCAAAAGGAGCAGATCATCAGGGAACACAAGGGCTGGAAGAAACGTGGGTTGAATGAGGTGGACAGGCCTCTTCCAGAGTTGGAGGCTTGCAAGTTGGACAAGCCCCCCGGGGAAGCTAAGCTCCCCAGGATACAGCCTCCCTGAGGCAGCCGAGCCCTGTGTGCTGGCCAGACCCATGGGCAGGACCCAGAGGGGGCTGGGCCTGGAGGGCCACTCCCCGCGGCACTGCCCCACAGGCCGTCCGGTCGGCGTCCACCCCACCACCATAATCTCTGCCGCACAGCCCAGCTGGCAAATGTGCCACGGGAAGGGGAGCTCCTTCCACCCCAACCCGGCCACTGCCTCCTCCCTCCACTCCCGGCCCTGTGCTCCTCCGTCCCCAGATGCTTGAGTACAGCTGTGAACAAGCGTTGCCGGGGCCTGGGGACCACAGGCATGACAACAGGCACTGCTGGTTCTGTGTCCTGAGGGGTGTGCTGCGGGAGGTGGAGGGGCTGTGCTCGGCCAGGGAAGGGCAGCGCAGCTACACCTGGAGTCACCAAGGCCGAGCTAGCAGAAGAGGGTGCCGCTCAGACCCGAAGAAGGAACTTGGCTGGGCGTTTTCTTAGGGGAGGTGGAGGGAAAGGAAGGGCCTATCCCTAAGAGGAACAGCAGAAGTGTGGAGCTGGCCTGAGGTACCAGGGTGGGAGAGAGTGAGCCTGGCTCCTGGGCGGCTGAGACCAGGTGGGATGGAGGAGACTGAGTTGTGGAATCTGAACTTGACCCCAAGAGCAGTGGGAGCCATGGAGGACATTTGAGCCAAGGAGTGGGCAGACTGGATTTGATTGCAAGATCTTGCACACACATACACTATACACGGTTAGAGTGAAAATTGGTGACTACCCCCTTACATGGTGATGCCCGCGTGTGATCCTGGCACTCTGGAATGCTGAGGCAGGAGGAGCTCAAATTTGAGCAAGGCCTGGGCCACTTAGCAAAAACCTATCTCAAAATAAAAAACAAGGGGCTGGCGATTTAGCTCAGAGGAACAGCGCCTGCCTGGCAAGCACAAGGTTGTGAGTTTGATTCCTGGTATGAGAAAAAAACACAAACAAACAAAAATAAAAAACAAGAAAGGGCTAGGATGTAGCTCAGTGGAAAAGCACCCCTGGGTTCTAGCCGCACCCCCCAAAAATTTTCGCCAGGCCAGGGATGTGTCTGGCAAAGGACAAGGAATGGGACCAAAAAATCCACAGGAGGCTGATGCAGGCCAGGCTGAGAGTGGGGATGTCCCAGCCCTGATGGGCCCTGCTGGGTAGAACAAGTGACTGGATCTGAGCACTGGCTAGGGGAGTTGTTGGGCCAGGTGGTGGATGGGGTGAAGGTCAAGGGAGAGGAAGAGACAGAGGCGGGGGTGCAGGGCTGCAGACAGTGCCCTGGCTGGAGAATGAGGAGGATCAGCTGACCTAGGGGATCAGGGGACAAGTTGCGGGGCCTGGGACAAGATGAACTGAGGCGTTGGTAGGGCATCGGCACAGAGTGTCCTGGAGACACTGATATAAGGGCCGGGATCAGGAGAGGGCTCCGGGCTGGCCACCCGGTCAGAGTGTTTGTCCGTCCTCCTGCGTGTCAGCACTCTCTCCACGAAGCTGGGCTGGGACTCAGAGGTGGTCCAACCCGGTGCCTGTCTTCCAAGGGCTGCATTCTAGTGCAGAGAGAGAGCGGAGCCCCTGCTCAGATCTGAGCACCAATGAACATGATACATGGAGCGGTGGTGGCGCATGCCTGCGATTCCTGCACTGAGGGAGGCTGAGGCAGGAGGATGGCAAGTTTGAGCCCAGCCTGGGAAACTTAGGGAGAACCTGTCTCAAAATAAAAACATCAAATAAGAAGGGCTGGGGATGTATGTAGCTCTGGGGGAAGGTCAGGAGTTTGACCCCCAGTATCACAAAAGAAGAATAAAGACAGGATGGAGCAAAGGCAGGGGCAGATGAACCCCGCGGGC